CAAACGAGAGGAACTCTGGCCCTCCATATGCCGTGGCCCTCCATACAAATCAGCGGTAGACGAGGTAGGTGAGGGGTGTATGGCTGCCACTCGAACTGCAAAAAAGTCCAAATGTTAATATCTCTTTGAAATATATTGATATCATAGAGTACTTCAATTCAAATTCGATACCTGAAAAATTTTCATCCGGTCGAGCTCCCCTCTGTAAAAATCTAATTGCCTAGCCGGGGTCTCATCATAGGCTTTTGTGACATTCCATCTGCAAGAAACGTTTTTGTTCAAAATGTTAAATTTAAAATTAAATACAAATGAGATTCAATTTGACGCTTTTTACCTGCAGCCTAGTGGAATATGTCCATCTAACTCTCGGATCTCGCATAATCGTGGTTTCAAAACCAATCTTTCCCATGCCCAAACTTGTAGCAATGTTAAACAACCCTTGAGCTCCTTATTTTGCATTAAAGCAACCTTTGACATTTCTCGATATAGGTATGCTAAAACAGCACTACCCTAGGATAATGTCCCGCACATGTCGAAGTCTTCGATAAGTGGTAACCACCTAGCGCGAGTTCAAATACGTTAGTCATGTATACTAAGAATAGTGAGCAAAAATCAATACTTAATGTTTACTTACCTCAAATGGACTTTATGTTTACTTGAATCGGGAAAAAGAAGTGTCCCGATCATGTGCATAATATATGCTCTCGCATGCTGTTGGATCATCACTTCAGGTGCATCTTGTGGCAACGGGTTTCCAAAACTCTCCTTAAGCCACTTCAATCTAATATACCCTCCAGGCAAGGACTCCGGAGATATTCCTAACAAATTATCACATACTCTTCGCCAAACATGCCTATCAGTCCCCGTGATACAAGGGCCATCAATGCGGAGACCTAGGATCACTGCTACATCCTGGAGAGTAATAGTTGTCTCGCCGACACGTAGATGGAAAGTATTAGTCTCCGGCCTCCATCTATCCATCAACGCGTTAAGCAGTGCCCAATCGAGCTTCATCCATTTCAATTTTGAGCAAGTAAGAAAACCGGCTTGGGATACTAGGGCAATGATGCGAGGATCATCAAGTGGCCAGCGCGTATGTCCAAGGCTATGATCAATCATAACCAGCTCTTGTCCTCTCTGCACATAAATGAATACAAAGATTATAAAAATGAATAAGTAATATGTGACTGTAAATATGTTATCATTACCGATGTCAATGATATGCTCTCCGAACGGTGGCGTGACTGATCATAAAGGACTTCATCATTATCCGGTCCGGGAAGCATCGTGTATATACCTGCACATATAACGGTAACTTATGAGTTTCTGCCAAATCAAATACATATGAACAATGTATCTACTTGCTAAATCAATAACATATAATGATGACATATCATTAGAAAATATTTTACTTACAAATTAATTGCTATCTACTTGCTCTTGATGGACAACGAGACCTATTATGTCCTAATTGATTACATTGTCCACATCGGGTTCGTGACGCTACTCCTTCACGACCTTGATCCATGGTAGATCTAATGCGTACGGATTTTGGTCGTCCAGCTTGTCTTTTGTGCTTAGGTGGTAATAAGTACGGTATATATAATTCCGGCCAATAGCGAGTATCATCGGGAGGATGAAAACTCTCCTTATAAGCCCGCCGATAATGATTTGTTGAATACCAAGCTGAGCAATATCGGTCATAAAGCAATCTAGCTCCACCATCTTGATTGGAACTAGCTGCTAAAACGTGTTGACATGGGATTTTCTGTAATTGTGGTATACTACAAGTACAACTGCACTCCTGATCGTCGAGATGAACGGTGTATGTACCATCACAATCTTTAACCTCCCACTCATTGTTGTTGAATTGTTCAATTCTACATGTTCTCACAGCCACAATCCTTTTCTGCAAAATAATCTCATTTTTTGGAGTGTACTTACTCGTCCAATTTGCACTATCAATGCGCCTCTTATTAAAATATGCGTTCAATCTATAAAACGTCCTTGCAACTAAGGCTTGAATTGGCATAGCACGGGCACCCTTAAGTACGCCGTTGAAACTTTCGGAACAATTAGTTGTCATCATACAATATCGCACTCCACCATCTTTACATAATGCCCATCGATCTTCGTATTGCGGCTTCAAGTTTTGTTCAATCCAATCGTGGGCTTCAAGTGATATGGATTTAATTTTCTCTCTACAATGCTCATATACCAGTGAGTCAGTTGCACAACCGGCTTGCCATAATAGATTTTGTAAATTGACCTCTCCATGTTTTTTCTTAAAATTAGCTCTTATATGCCGCAAGCAATATCGGTGATGATGTGGTGCACTCCACCCCTCGTGCAAGGCTCGTGGAATTCCTTTCATCCGGTCAGAAATAAAGGTAATAACTCGTGGACTTTGAACAGTCGGAATATATTTGTAAATACATTGAAAAAACCACTTCCAACTCGATGTATCCTCCACCTCCACAACTGCAAAAGCTACAGGAAATAGCCCACCGTTTGCATCTACACCGGTCGCAACCAAGATTACTCCTTTATACTTGCCATATAAATGTGTTCCATCGATACTTAAGAGCGGACGACAAAAAGAGAACCCTCTGATAGCGGGCCCAAATGCCCAAAAAACACATATGAACCTCTCCGTTTCTGGTGCGACCTCCTTAGACACTATGTCATATTCGGTACCCGGATTGTTCCGCACAATTGCTGAAAGGTAATGCGGAAGTAATTGGTAAGATTCCTCCCAATCTCCAAAGATTTTAGTCAACGCCTTCCTCCGTGCATCATATGCTTTAAACTTGGAAATTGTTATTCTTTTCATGTCATATACCCTTGTAATTATCTGTCCTGGAGTAAGATCAAGTTCCCGCCTAACTTCGGGCATAATTAGCTTTGCGATATAAGAGGAAGTCAAAGTCTTATGATCATAAGTTGCAGTCGAATTAGAACATGTATGGAGTCCGCAATAACTAGAGATTATAAACTGGCCAAGTGATTTTTTCCTAATAGCTGCATTAAGCTTCCATGGACACTTTGAATTTCTATCATCTGCAGCACTTGTATTCTCTCCTTGACCTCTCTCATTAAAGTAACACTTTACATGATAGCTAGTTGTGTTGCTTTTCACCGTCTTGAATTTGACCCGGTTTTTTATTGTCCATTCACGTATAGCGAAAATTAATGTTTCCTTGTTCTCGAAAAGATCTCCTTTCTTGAAAGTAAAGTCCTCGGATGGATCGAAATTAGGGCCAGGATCGACGAACTCAGCTTGTGAGGCATTTATCCACTCATCATTTTGAAACTCTTCTGGCAACGGCTCTTCAGACTCTACGTAGTCGTTATTTACGCAATATTCATCCATCCAACTTACGTCATCATTGGTCTCTCCAATTGCATACTGCATACTATCAAGACGTTCATCCTCTTCAGCATCTTCAGTATCATCATCGGCATCTACATCCTCATCATTATCCTCTGCTATTGTAGAACCCCCCGGTAAATCAACTGAAACATAACCCGGCGAGTTGTGGAACACGTCATTTGACATTGCACCCGACTCATTTTTAAAGCGCATGGCACTTTGAGATAATGAGATTTGATTATCAAGCATGCAGGAGAACTCTCCACGAGCATATGAAACTTCAGCGACCGAATACACTGGAATATTTTCAATAAACAACTCGATTGATACTTGTTTTTCCGCAAGCTGTATCATGTTATTCAATTCTTCATCATTGGTGATCTCTACAGCAATTGTTCTTTGATCATTTATTGGACAATTACAGAAGATCTTAATGGAATTTTCGACGTGATTAATTCCAGTGACTCTGTATATTTGCGCCACCAATCTATCAAAGTTGTAATTTCTGGACAACATGAACATTTTCCTAGAGCCTCCATCGTATATAGGCATATTATTCATTCCAACGCTCAGTTTTCCATTGAATAAGCAAATAATCGGTACTCCGTTCGCCATTTTAACTGAAGCATTAAAATTCATCATATAATAATTATATTTTTTTCCAGAGATTTTTCTAGACCATAATCATATATTTCTTCTAGATATACAACATTAACTAAACAATACATATAAATTTATGGAAAAATTAAAATTTGTACCTTGATTAAATCTCAGATCTCCTCGGCCTCGCAGAGAATCGACGGCGTCGGCGTCAGATTTGAGGGAGGAAGAGGTGAGTTGGGTTTGGGGGAGAGAGATAGGGATTGTTGGGTTTTGGGATAGATGGAGATCGGGTTTGGGAGAGAATGAGAGCTTTGATCGGCTTGGGAGAGAATGAGAGCTCGGGAAAGAGAGAGGGGGAGATATAGAGTTGAGCTCAGGAGAGAGAGAGAGAGGGGATCGGAAGTGGGTGCTCGGGGGAGAGAGAGGGAGATGGCGAGAGAAAAAAACGAAGGGGAAAATGTGCCCTAGGTTCGATGTATATATAGTCTGTAATTATACGGGACTAGTAGTCCCGTATAAATTGCAGACCAGCTTTCATGCTTGCGAAATCCACGGGACTAGTAGTCCCGTGGATTTGCTTGGCATAGGCTTCGCTGGCTCTGAAAAACGTACGGGACTACTAGTCCCGTACGTTTTGTTAACAAACAAAATTAGTGAACTTTAAACATACGGGACTAGTAGTCCCGTATGTTTTCTGATCCATTTTTCAAAATCGACCTCTTTTCCCCAAAAACGGTCTATTTTGCTAATTTTTTCCAAAAACGGTCTATTTCGCTAATTTTTTTCCAAAAAAGGTCTATTTTGCAAATTTGCCCCTACAAAGATCATAGACTTAAAAAAACCCTCTATAACTTGCCAAATTACTGTTTATTTCCTCTCATACAGTTCAGATACACGTGCATGTGCATGTATATAATGCAAGAAATGAGTTGCTGCATAGGAAAACTGTGTTCCTCTCTATACATCATGTGCATGTTTCTCCTGATACCTGTTAGGCTGATTCTTTGCCCTTGAATACATGCAGTTTCAAAAAATAAAAGAAGCTATATCAACACACAACACAGCCAGATGTAGCATTGGACCTCCATTAGGCGTGGGAAATCTTGACGTTGTTGATTCCTTAAACCCTCAGGAAAAGCCAGCTGAAGCGAGTTCCAGATAGTATCTTCCACCGTACAGTTTCAGGTTTAAGATATTGTTTTTTCTGTATCATATTTGTATCATATGCAACTTGGGTCAATTATTTACGTTGTTGGGAAAACCACAAATCTTTCTTCAATCTTGAGTTCAATTTCTTTTAACACGGACCTAACCCTGGCGGTGCAGATTAAATTTTGTATTAAAAGAGCCCATGTCTTCTCTTTTTCTTTTGATCCATCTTGGTATTAGCTTCAAGTCATCATCTCCTTTGCTCCTATTTCAAACCTTGGCTGGTGAATCTGATATTATTTATTGATGGCTGAAGAAGATGGCAGCTCGGGTACCAAGTATCTGAATTAATTTATCCTAGGGGCTAGGGCACGTTTATTGGATTTGGATCCTCTCCACTACAAAAAAGTAGTGGAGAGACCACTACTTTTAATCTCAAGCATTGAAAAAAGTAGTGGAGAGACCACTACTTTTAATCTCAAGCATTGATTATTTAGTAGGCGGTTATGATACAATCTAAATCTAACACTTACCATACCCCCGTGTATTGCACTCATTCCTAATTTGTACTAAAAGAAAAAATCATAACCATTAACTAGATAATCAATGGCTGTGATTATGTAGTGGTCCCTTCACTATTTTTTTTTGTAGTGGAGAGGATCCCAATCCCGTTTATTTAGTCTGGGGGGTTATGTCATAACGGACCAAATTTAGAGAGAGTTTTGTGAAATTTATTCTGGGGGGCTAGGTGACGTTTATAAAGTCCAAGGGGGGTAGGGGGCCAAATTTAAAGGGGGTTTCGCGAAATTTATCCTTCCCTTTTCGCATATTGTCCTTTGCATGTTCAGATTCTCTACGTTACATTATTGATAGCTGTGCTGCGCTGTAGTCGTTGGACACTGAAGTTTGGTTCTATTTGTTGAAAAGAAAAAAGTAAAAAAAAACAAACAAACAAACAAACAAAAAAAAGTTATTCCTAAAAAGATTCGTTCTATTTTGATAGGCTGTAATCTACTATATCACTTTCTAAGTTTTGGCCAATGAACTCTCTCCCATCTGGACGAAATCAATTGGATCAATCTCTTTTTTACAGCAAACGAATCCTTTCATAGAAAAAGAAAAGGACAGAAGTCGGTCAAAACCGCCGTCTCTAGACTCAAAACTAAAAAACTTAAATGATATAAACAGCACATATTTTTATATCAAGAAGAAAACAAGACCCTTAAAAGGTAGATATATCATTACAAAACTTGCACCCTCGTGCAAAGTCTTGATCTTCGTGGACCCCCCCTGCTCACATCAAGCATTTAAGGTGATGATCTCTTGCCTATATTTTTAGTCGTACTCATCATCCATCATAAGTCAAAAGAGGGGATCATCAGTAATATAATTTCTCAAAACGTGAATCCGTGGATGATACTTGCTGCGAAAATAGTTGAATGTCGATGACGTTGGACGTACGTACGTGCAAGAGAGGTGTGCTGTCTGCAATTTACCCAAAAAAGTAAGGAAATATTAGTCACCGTTTAATTTGTGGGCCCACTTGAACTATCGATTCCCGGCCTCTGGCCTCGTCGTAATCAAGTCAGTCACAGCTCTGGTCACGGCCTCCTTGAACGCCTGCTCGTCCCAGTCGCTCGCCTGCTGACATCAACAATTAGTTTAATATTGTAATTAGCATCGGTTAGATACGAAGAAACTTCTTAAGGCTTGCGTAAATTATTAAATCACACAATATTGCTATAGCACACGTTAATATATCTAATACACATTTATATATGATATTGGTCGAGGCTGGTCATGACTAAACCTTGAATGACAGAAACTTCATTGACTTTTATTACAAGTACAATTAGATGAAAATGAGCAATTTTTGGTGGAGTACTACCGTTCAAACCCCCTGTCAACTTTGGCAGTCGGCGCGCACATGGTATCTCATTTATAGCATCGGTGGTTCAAAATTGTTATACACAATGTTTTGGTGAAGGCTGATCGTGACTAAACTTGGTAATTAAGAAAAAAAATTTACTGACTTTGTTATGGGTGAAAAAAAAAAGAAAAAAACTGTTTGTTCGTTCGTGGATTTGTTCATTAATTATGCAATTAGTTCATCAAGCTTTAGCGGTTGAGGCTGGTGATCTTTTCAAGCCACCAGTCAACTTTGGCATACAAGATTACGTGTCTTAGCTAGGCCTCTTTATGTCATGGGTTTCAAAGTGCTTCTCATTTTCGTTTCTGCATGAGCATAGCTTAGTCATTCGTATGTATGATAAATTTTTTTTGTGGTCTTTTTACCCTGTTTTTTTTTTTTTAAACTCCCCTTAATTTTAGGCCTGTTTTATGTGTATCTTGGGTGAAAAAAAAAAAGTTTCATCCGATCGTACCAAAAAGGTAGAATCAAATTAAATTTACATACCTCAACTTGTAGAGAAATGTTCAATCTCGCAAACACACCCATCTGTTGAGAAAACGTGTTTGCATTCACTGACACAAGAGTGAGACCTCCCATCTCCTTCAAACATTCAAGAGCACGAAGAAGCAGATCGGCCATGTCACATTCAACCCTAACCGTTATTCTGAGAGCCACCCGTTGCACGAGCGACGAAGATTCGAGTGCCCGTGCAATTTGAACATCTACCCTCTCATTACTCGCGCCATTGTCTTCTTCGATCTCGTCTTCCCGCGTAAGTTGCGACTCGAGCATTCGGTTCCTCTCCTCCATCTCAGAAACTTGCAACTTTAAGTTGTTCAAATAGTCTCGTGTATTGAAGAGTACGGATGCCTTGTCCTTCTGTTTGTAATATGGAGGTCATTAAGTGTATCAGTTAAAAGAAATGATAAATAGGGCAGGTCTTAACAATTGTTGATTACAAGCAATAAAGAGCAATATATATAATACCGATTAACTTAATTAGTAACAGAGATAAAATTCTTCATAAAAATGAAACGAAGGATTAGTATGATTCATATAGTTAATTAATTGACACAAAAAATTGGGATAAAAACATTGTGGAGGTCGTCGTTTCTTTATTTAGAGATTGTTGTCCTTAACTTCTTGTTGTAGTCTATATTAATTGAATCCATGATAATTTCACAATAAAATCATGAAAAACTAGAAAATTTACTTTATTTATTTAGTGGTAAAAATTTCAAAATACTATCGTAAACTAATAGGAGTTTCGCGTAAAAATAAAATAAATTATTTTTGTTGGAAAAACTATAACAAACTTTGAAATCGGCAGAAAACTATCACATTCTATCACAAAACCACTAACAGATTAAATATATAAAAAAAAATTTGTTCTTATTTCACTATAAATATAAGAAATACCACGAATTAATTTCCAGACAAATTCAGCAAATAATATATCATGAATTTACGTTATTATCAGGGAACTACGTACCATGAATATATAATGAATTTCCACGTATCATCATAAAACTAAGTATCACATAGTTTCGTGATGGCGTGTTGCGGTTTTCTGCTCGTGATTTGAAAGTTTAATTACGCCTGATATGTAAATTAAATTTCTCTAATGGACTAATTAATTAACCGCAATTAATTATTAATGTATACGGTACACACCTTTGCCCCCGGAGGAAGTAGCATCCTAAGCGCGTGAAAGCTCTCATTAAGCTTCTCCCTCCTCTTGCGCTCTGATATCATATGATGCAACTGGTTACTCGTCGGCGGCCTCGACCCCTGCATTCTCGCTTCAGCGCTCATCAAATTCATCCTTCTCAGCACAGCAATGCAAGTCTTAATCATCCTGTGACCTCCCATTCCGGGCCTGGGCTCACCGTAGTTCTGCCCGATGATTAGCCCGTGATCGTAGGGCCTGAACGCTCCCACGGGCCTGGTCCATGAAGAGGAGGAGGAGCAAGAAGAGGAGGGAGCAGAGGAGGAGATCACGGTGAGCATTGCTCTCATTATCGCCGCCTCGTCAGTCGCGGCGGTTGGGAACTGGGCATTTCGGCGATGAGTATATGATATCGTTGGAACTGGGAGAAGAGAGGAGTATTCAGGACTGCTGACGGCTGATAGGGACCGGAGAGAGGATGAAGACGATGACGGGTGATTTTGGTCTGCAGGGATTTGGGAGAGGTTTACGTCTTCGTTGAGGAGTTGTTGGATCAGTTGCATGCTGATCTGCAGGCAGAAATGCGCAAATGATCAGAGTTACGTACGTATAAAAAAACACAAGAATTATGATTATTTTATTGATTAGTATTTACATTAATCTCAAGAACTTCAGACGTCGACATTATATATTCTGAAGACGAAATTATCTTCAACCGTAACGGAAGAAATGTCGCTTGAGATTCAGAAAACGTAAATGCGAATAGGGGAGGAAAAAAATTTAGAGGAGTAAAAATGATTAAAAAGGTTTTTAATTAGTGATTACACTGCTCATGTTGGACATCCCTAATTCGATTTCTCCATTCTTGCATCCCATAAATACTGCTTTCTGAGCGCAAGTACATAATTAAACAACACGTTAAAATTAATTCATAATATTCAAAAAGCATAAAATAAGCTGCTGCCAACTTGTATCGTTAATAGTATATACAACAAACCTTAACTCCAGCTTCCTGCACAAAATAGAAAACTTAATCAAAACAAGTACTAATTAGTTGTATAAATTTAACCTCGTAAAAAAAAAATCCAAAGTTCTAAAAGAAACACACATTTAATTATATAATTAACCTGGTAGAATTGCCTCTGAATTTGTGAGGATGCCAAGTTGTTCAAATCCGAACCCGCTAGCTCAATATAAGGTATCCCTTCCTTATAAGCTAACCCAGGCACACTACTTATGGTGGGGAGAAAAAAGAGTAAATAAAACACGAAAATATTATCATTTTTATAGATAGATAGAACTTGGAATATCGATCCGCCAACTTACCCACTTTCGACACTCGAAAAAGATGCCCGATACAAATCGAACAAGCTCCGAGACCCATCCTCGTTCAGCCATCCATCGGTGCACATCAAACAACTGAAGGAAACGTTTACATGATATCTTTCAGAGATCGAGCTAGTAATTGAGCGAGACAGATTAAATGTCCAGGAAAATTGAAATCTAGAAAAATCAACATGCGTGTATATATACTTGGATGGGTATGGAATGTATGACCACACGCACAAATGCACGCAACCGATAGCACGCCCAGCGTTATGGAGAATGTGCGAGCGAGCTTCGGGGCTGAGGAGGAAGATGGAGTCCATGGAGGAATCGATATCGAGGAAGAGATCGATGATCAAGGTGTAGTAGAGCTATTTAAAGATTGAAGATGTTGGAATATGACTAGTTCTGCTCGATCTTCTCATATGTTGTATTCTATAGAGGGAGGGGGAGAGAGAGATGTATGTTTAGTAGAGAGGAGGAATTAAGTTTGTGGTGGAATTTGAATTGAATTAATATATAGTAGCATTATATATTTTTTGTTCTTGTTCATTTTTTTTTTCAATTTTCTTTTATTTATTTGTTCTTTTGTTGGGTAGCCAGCCAAGAGGGAGTCATTTGAAAAGTAGTCATTCAAAGTCTTTGATCGCGCGGGAGGATTTTGACGGGGGTCAAAGTTAGGAGGCAGGTGATACGAGAGGCTGATGTCTTCCTTCCGCAAACCAAATGTGGGGCCCAAGCCAACCCATTTGCTCCTCTGCCTCTGTATTTTATTGCTTTATTATTAAACAAAATATTAATTAATATTTGTTTGCACCAAATGCAATTGTTGTAAAAAAAAAATTATATAATAATTTGAACGTTTAGCTTTGGCTATTTTAACTTGAATTTAGGTTTGACCCATCTTGAATTTGGATCATCTCCCTTTCTTATAGGTTCTTAGTAAGAGAGAAATACTATATGTTCGATCTTGTCGAAACCATAAATATGAAGAGATATATAGTTAATATCAGCATTTGAGAACACAGCCCTAGATGTTAAGGCTTTAATTATGATTTCTAATTTAATATAGTGCGTATATTTGTGTATCCAAAAAAAAAATTATTCGCGGGTTGTACCGCTAAAATTTCTCTCTCAGATAATATTTAAATTTTTGTGGAAAATAAAAATTCTTATTTATAAAATTTCACGTATAACTTTTTTGTTTAGCACTAGAAAAGATTAGGTACGTACTTCTATTCATGTGGGTTCACACGAGTATAAAATATATTACATATGTAGAGTATACCGGATAGAGGACAATTGTTCGATTTCGCGTAACATGAAATGATACTATATAATAATAAAAAAAATCTAGATTGGGTGACTTGCAAGATGATTAAAATTTTTTTTTGAACCATCAGCATCAGTAATTAATCTAATTAAGATATAAATAGACTTAGAACATTTTACTTATTTCTTTGCTATTTCAAATCTTAAACACAAGATAATTAATTACACCCAAGCGCCCAGCGGAGAATTCTTCTTGAGATTCCAGAGGGAGTCAAATTGTCATATGGATTTGAGTTGGTAAGACTTTTCTTTGACAGTATACTTCGTCGAAAGAAAGGTCTACGCTATAACATATTTTATGTAATCTTTTTAAATATATATTTTAAAGCTTCTTTTACTTTTTACACCTTAAATTTTTTTCTTTGACTTTGATATGTTTGGCAAATAAATTATTTTGGTTTATAAGCCACCAAATAAGATAAGATACAAAAGCTTTGTTTTTTTTTTTTTTCTTATACGCCACAAACTTGTACAAGTAAAAAACTAATATACCCCTATCTTCATTTCATAAAATTCCAAGGCCTATTTTATCTGTCTTTAACTCATAACTATGTTTTGTTATTTTTGTGAATGGCAGACACGTGAGCCAAGTTCACGTGGCCTTGGGCCCACCCGAACTGAAAATCGTGAACGGATTCACATGAAGAGATTGAACATAGCGGCTTAGGCCCACCCGATTCATTCACCTGCTATAAATAATAGCAAAAAAATCCTAGGTCAGTGTGCGAAGGCTAAGGGGGAAAACGGCTGCGTGCAATTGGAGGCGTGTGCGAGCGAGGTCAGAGGCTTTTAGGGAGATTTGTGCGACTGCAGCAGTGCAAATTTGAGGAGGTGCAAAAGTGTTGGCAGCGTTCTTTTTGGACGGCGTGCAAAGAGTTCTTTTGTGCTTTTGAGAGAGATAATTGTGTGAGGGTTTAGATTGGGTGATTGTAAACCCTAGTTGTATTATCTCTCCCTCTAATAGTAGATCTCCCCCTCCTTGCCCCGTGGACGTAGGCAGTTTGCCGAACCACGTAAAATTGGTTGTTTGAGTTTGTGGTCATTGTAATAGATTTTTAGGATCCCTCGACGCGCAGTCCTAGAGCTGACGAGAGGAAGAGCTAATATCCCACTTTGATGGGATATTTGGCTTCAGATTCTTGTTCCCTTTGAGAAACAAGAATTCTTATCGATCTTTCTCTCTTATTGTGCACCAGAAACTCTGCCGAAATTTCCGCTGCGCACAACAAGTGGTATCAGAGCTCGGGCTACGCTTGGGCTATTTGGAAGAGTAGATCAATTTGGAGGCTCGTCTAGGGTTCGTTTGGTGATAAAGGTGTGATCTTTTGGTAAATACTCTATCTTTCAGTTTTGGATCTATTCTTTGTTCGTTGGTGCGTAAGATGTCGGGGAAAGAGGGTGCTTCGGGTGTTGAGGGTGGTGCTTCTGGCGCGAAGACCATTCAGAGTTTGAATATCCACTCTATGAAGATAGATGTGGAAAAGTTTAATGACACAAACAATTTTGGATTATGGAGATGCGAGGTTTTGGATGCGCTGAACGCGCAGAATTTGGAGGATACCTTGGAGTTAGATGGCAAGCCAGATGACGTTGAAGAGAAGGTTTGGAAGAAGATGAATCGAACGGCGTGTGGTGTGATTAGGTCTTGTTTGACTCAAGATCTAAAATATGATGTGATGAATGAGACTTCTGCAAAGAAGATTTGGGAGATTCTCGAAAGCAAGTATCTGACAAAGAGTGTTAAGAACCGCTTGCATTTGAAGAGGAGACTTTATCGTTTCCAATTGAAGAAGGGAACCTCTATTAGAGATCACATGAACCACTACACTAAGCTTCTTGCGGATTTGGCGAATGTGGATGTCGTAATTGAAAATGAGGACAAGGCGTTGCTGTTGTTGAGTTCCTTGCCCGACGAGGAATATGAGACCTTTGTTCTTACTTTGATTAATGGAAAGGCGTCCCTTTCGTATAGTGAGGTCACTGCTACACTGGTGAATTATCAGCTTCGGAAGAAGGATAAGGAGACTTCGACTGAGTCGGTAACAGAGGCGTTGGTCGTAAGAGGGAATAATCCAAACCGGAAGAATTGGAAGTCACAGTCTAGAGTAGGGCATCCTACAATTGGAAAAGACCAGTGTGCTTGGTGCAAGAAGACTGGTCATTGGAAGAAAGACTGCCTAAAGCTCGACGAATGGATGAAGAATAAGCAGAAGGGAAAAGGGAAGCAACCATCATCAGAAGCAAACATCGTATCGGATGGTAATAATTCTGACTCTTCTATTTATTCGCTTTCTATCAGTCCTACAGATAGCTATTCGGAGGAATCTGAATGGATGTTGGATAGTGGTGCGACCTATCATGTGTGCCCTAGAAGGGAATGGTTCTCCAGTTTTGAGAAGCTGGTGGATAGTGGTGTGGTGTACATGGCTGATAACCGTGCATGCCAGATCCTTGGGATAGGAAGAATTCGCATAAAGATGTTTGACGGGACTGTTAGAGAGTTAAACGATGTGAGATATGTTCCTTCTTTGAGGAAGAACTTGATCTCGATTGGAGCTTTGGTTGGAGAGGGTCTGAAGGTTCGTGTTGAGGACATGGTTCTCGAGATTGCGAGAGACTCTCGTATTTTGATGAAGGGCGTCAGGAGAAATAACCTGTATTACTTGACTGGAGGTATAGTGACAGGTGGAGAGCTGACGACTTCTGTTGATTCGACTAGACTGCGGCATTTGGGGCTTGGCCATTCCAGTATTGATTCCTCGCATAGATTGGAAGAGGGTGCGAAGACCTGCAGTTTGAAGTCCAGTGAACATGTTGATGTGAGCAAGAAGACCGAGGTGAAGTGTGGCACCTCTATTCACCGTGCTAAGGGTCGTTCTGGAGGAGTTCACGTGGATGTTTGGGGGCCTTCCAAGGGGGCATCATTGGGAGGTAATAGAAGTTTGGTTTCCTTTGTTGGTGACGGTTCTAGGCGTGTTTGGGTTGCAACCAAATCCCCTTTGGAGAAAGTCCTAGTAGTATCCAACAGATTGAAGAAGTGTGTAATAGACAGAAAGGTGAAGGTACTCCATTCTGGTGGGAGGTACAAGATGGACCTATTTCTGTATTGGAGCCGAGCTCACGGCATTTCGAGACACTTCGTTGGAAAGGAAATCTTGGGGTAACTAGATAAGGTGACAAATTTGGAGGACCGTGCCTTGCTGGAGGAGGATCGGTGTTTGTGGTCGAGCAATGGTTTGCAGAAGAGTTTCTGGACAGAGCCTTCGACAAATTTGGGTCATCCTATTAAAGAGTTGTCAACTGCTGTGATTGGAGGTAAAACTCCATTGGAAGATAGGTCTGGTTATGTCACTTTGGTTGAGGCTTCGATGAGGAAGCCAATTGACTCTCAGCAGATGGAGAGTTTTGGACAGACCTTAGATGTATCGCAGCGGGTGGAGATGGATGCTACTCCACGTTGGGTGAAGAATACTCCAGATCATACTGCATCATTTGGGATTCCAGCTGAGGTGACACAGTTAAGGGATCAATTTGTTTTGGATGCAGATGATGAGTTGGGTTTTGAATCGAGTGCAGCTGGCAGACATAGTTTGGATATGGTCACTGGTTCACCTCAGGTGGAGGTGTTTGAGGCCATTGGAGGTGCTATCAGCCGCAGAATTGATGATATTGGAGAAGGGTTGCGAACTCTTCTAGTGAATTGAGGTCTTTGCGGCCATTTGGGTGAACTACGTTCGGCTTGATTCCTTGGTCAAGAGGATACGTAGGCAGTCTTATGATGCAGCCGGGTTGGATTATTTGATGGGGGGTGAGATCGATTTGGTGAGTTGATACCGATATTTGGAGAGTGTTTGCACTCTCATTTGGGTTCTCGACTTGTTATGGATTGAGTCTGTTGTCGTGAATTGTTTCACAGTGTACTGGACACAACAAGTGAGACATTTGGTTTGGTTGGTATCGGCTCAGTTTTGGGAAAACTTCACCGAGGTGGAGAATTGTGAATGGCAGACACGTGAACCAAGTTCACGTGGCCTTGGGCCCACCCGAACTGAAAATCGTGAATGAATTCACATGAAGAGATTGAACACAGCGGCTTAGGCCCACCCGATCGATTCATTCACCTGCTATAAATAATAGCAAAAAAA